AAAAAAAAAATCAGTCTGGATGCCAAGTGAACAACGAAACGGAGGCGGGTAAAAGAGGATCAAAAAGACCAGTTAGGAGGTTCTTCTTGTGTACAGGTGAAATAAGCTGGTTACTTGGTGGTGGTAATAGAAGCAAAGAAAAGGCCAGGAGCAGTGGCTCAGGCCTGTAATCCCAACACTGGGAGGCTGATGCAGGTGCTGTGGTCAGGAGTTCAAGACCAGCCTGGCCAACATGGCGAAATCCTGTTTCTACTAAAAATACAAAAATCAGCCGGGTGTGGTGGCAGGCGCCTGTAATCCCAACAATGTGGGAGGCTGAGGCAGGAGAATCGCTTGAACCCGGGAAGTGGAGGTTGCAGTGAGCTGAGATTGTGCCACTGCACTCCAGCCTGGGTGACATAGCAAGATTCTGTCTCAAATAAATAAATAAATAAAATAGGAATGAAGAAAATAGGTGGATTACAAAGATATGGAGGACTTAGTGATAGGTAGTATGTGGGGGTGAGGCAGAGGGAAGTGTCCAGATTTCCTGCCTGGGCAACAGGATGGATAGGGAGGATTGGAAGAGGAGCAGGTGTGTGCAGAAAAGGCATTCCATTTTAGACATGTGGAATCTGAATTGGGAGTTAACTCATGACCACAGCTCTGTTGCACCCGATTCTTGCTTTGACAGGAATGCTCCAAAATGGGAAGAAATTTGATTCATCCAGAGACAGAAACAAACCTTTCAAGTTCAGAATTGGCAAACAGGAAGTCATCAAAGGTTTTGAAGAGGGCGCAGCCCAGGTAGGTGAGGATTCACATTAAAAGAGATCTGGAGACTTGGGGATCTGGGCTCAGCACTCTGCCCTCCACCTCCACCTTCACCCACTCACAGACCACTACTGCTTTGACTCTACCGCCAGGGCATGGCAACGCCATCTGGTATCCCCTCCTGGCTTTGTGTCCCCACCCCTCTCCTTGCCAGCATGACTCTTTTGTGTCCCTGGGAGCTCTCATCCCAAGCACATCCCCTAGGCTTGCTTAGAACTACCTGAGAGGGCCAGGCATGGTGACTCATGCCTGTAATCCCAGCACTTTGGGAGGCCGAGTGTGGCGGATCACTTGAGGCCAGGAGTTCAAGACCAGACTCACCAACATGGTATAACCCCGTCCCTGCTGAAAATACAGGTGTGGTGGTACACGCCTGCAATCGCAGCTACTTGGGAGGCTGCGACAGGAGAATCACTTGAACCCGGGAGGTGAAGGTTGCAGTGAGCAGAGATTGTGCCACTGTACTCCAGCCCAGGCGATGGAGTGAGACGCTGTCTCAAAAAACAAAACAAAAAAATAAACTAGCTGAGGTCTACCAGTTGTCTGGGACTGAGGTGGCGGAAGAGTTGGGGTGGAGTAGGCCAAAAAGATTTTTTGTTTTTTTTGCTTTTTTGGAAAGAATTTCAGACTTACAAAAATATTACAGAAATAGTACAGAGTTCTTCTATACTCTATTCAGCTTCCCCTTCTTGCATAACCATAGTACAATTATCAAAACCAGGACATTCACACTGATACAATATAACTTATTCAAATTTTTGATTATTCAAAATTCAAAAATAGATTTAAATTTCACCAATTGTCCTACTAATGCTGAGCGGGTTCTCAACAACTGCTGTGATGAGCCCTGGTTCAAGCTCTTCTTCCTTGGTCTGTCTGTGAAGTCCTTATGATGCTCCCTTACAATAGGTCTTGTTTTTGGTGTTTTTTTTTAGACAGAGTCTCACTCTGTCACCGAGGCTGGAGTGCAGTGGCCCAATCTCAGCTCACTGCAACCTCCACCTCCTGGATTCAAGCGATTCTCCTGCCTCAGCCACCCAAGTAACTGGGACTACAGGCACCTGCCACCATGCCCAGCTACTGTTGTTTGTTTGTTTGTTTGTTTGTTTTTGAGACATAGTCTCACTTTGTTGCCTAGGCTGGAGTGCAGTGGCACAATCTCAGTTCACTGCAACCTCCGCCTCCCAGGTTCAAGCAATTCTCCTGCCCCAGCCTCCCGAGTAGCTGGGATTACAGGTG